TGAGTCATGCACCATGGCCAAAAATTTAGTTATGACTATTAAGTTTAATATTTAGTTGAGTTATTTCACAACAACCCCCCCCCCGCAATATTATTTTTTCCCAGTCATTTTTGCTTTATTACTTCTCCATATGCACATTAGAATCAACTTGCCTAGTTCCAAAAGAAATCCTCTGTGGGTGATTCTATTGATAGCAGACATCCTACTTAAGTATCACTGTTTCTATCGTAATATTATTCAACAGCAGCAACCACAGGATTCCTAAAGTCTTCCCATTTGTATCTATGTGCTTTTGAGAGCAGGTCCACTCTCGCCAACCTGTCCTCCTTTAAAGTATAAAGTACAGGTGGTTGACAATTCTTCAGACACACAAGGAGCTTTCAGTTTTGTCACAGACGCACGCAAGGAAGTCTAGCCCGGATTCCAACAACTTCTCTGCAGGCCCGGGTGTCAGCATCATGTCACAGCCTTAAATATGCCTCAGCTCCAGCTCCCTCTGAGCCCTCTGGGTACCCCATTCCATGCCAACTCCTAGATCAGCCTAGCCCCCTGCTCTTCCTCCAAACCAGGCCAGCCCCATGAAGATTTCCCACTCACACCACCCTGTGAGCTATGGGCTCTTCCCTGCTGCCAGCTCCCCCTGGAGCTGGGGAGAGGGGACCAGGATCCCCTGGAGCTGGGGAGAGGGGACCAGGCCACATCCTGAGCCCTCCACTTTGGCCTCCGCCCAATCTTTCACTGCCCAACTGACTGAGAAAAAGACCAGGATCCCCTGGAGCTGGGGAGAATCTTTCAGCCACCCCACCCAAAATAAAGGCTTGAGGCACTGGCACATGCCAGGCACAGCTCCCTTCCCATCCAGCCAGTCCTATGGGAATCAGTAAGGGGGAGAGAATGGCATCCTGCGAAACAGAATGGGGCTTTAGAGATTGGTCTGGGGGACTCAGAGAGATAGAGATCCTGCAGTGAGGGGCCACCTGGGCTGTCAAGCCCCCTCCCCCCCACCTGCTGTCCCCTGGGAGTTGGCACCCTACAGAGCAGGGCTGGGAGGGGCTGGCCTGGACTTGAGGACATGCTTTCCAGTGGGAGGGAGAAGAGCTGACAGAAGGGGGAGAGAAGATGGGGTCTGATCTTCAGCATCACAACTTCCCAGAGAACAGCTGGGGCCATTCTTGGGGTGTTCTGTCTTCAGCAGATAATCAGGTGGCTGGAGACAGCAGAACACGAACACACACACACACACACACACACACACACACACACACACACTCGCACACACTCACGCACACTCATACCTACTCAGACTGCACACACACTGGGGTGAACACATCCATAGCACAGGCAATGCCATCTGGCTCCTGGTGATCCACTCAACCCTGGAAAACCCCAGAGGGGCCCCTTTGCCCAGCTGGACGCCAGGAAACTGCTTGCTAAAGCCCAACCACTCCCTTTCTGCTGCTTTTTCCTGCAGCTCAGCTCAGCTAGATCACCTCCCTCTCCCTCAGCCTGGTCTCAGTGCTCAGCTCCTCCTGGCCTCCCTGCTCAGCTGGCTTCCAATCCCTGGGGAGTTTAGGTGAGGCAATCCCAGCCCCAGCCCTTTCCCACAGACCTGCTCACAGGACCCTTCTCCAGGGGAATTCCATCCTGCTGCCCCTCACAGCCTCTGCAGCCTCACCCCTCAGAACTTACTGGGAGGGAGGGAGGGAACAAAGGAGGGAGGGAGGGAGGGAAGGAAAGAACAACAATGACATAGAGAATGTGACTCCATGCCGAGATCTGTGTAGATCAGTGGATAAAGCTTTGGCTTGGGTCCCAGGTTCGATTCTGGTCAAGGGCATGTACCTTGGTTGTGGGCACATCCTCAAGTAGGGGGTGTGCAAGAGGCAGCTGATCAATGACTCTCTCTCATCGATGTTTCTCACTATCTCTCTCCCTTCCTCTCTGCACAAAATAAATAAAATATATTAAAAAAAAAAAAAGAGAGAGAGAGAGAATGTGACTCCAAGAAGGTGGCAAGAGTGGATGCCACCTGAGTCCCTGTTTGATGCCCAGTCAGTCTGCCTTTTTAACTCTACCTTCACCCACAATGCAGTCCTTCCGGGGGTGGAGGGGCTTCACCAAACTCCACATGGCTGGCTGAGTGGCCACTGGTGGAGAGGGAGGTCTTGAGGGGCTAAGGGGATGTCCCCAGGCCCAGCTGCAGCAACAGAAGCTCAACAGGCAGCAGGGACTGGGGTTCTGTCCTGCAGCCTGAAGGCCTGGGAAAAGGCTGAGTTTACAACATTACTTCATAGATTCAGGAATTCTTTAATACATACAATATTCTCTGAGCAGTGTATTATATCTCACTTTTCTTATAGCTCTAAAGAAAACTACTTGGGGAAGGTTGGAAGATAGGACATGCACTGAGAAAAGAGTAGGGAGAAGAGGAGCCATGATTGACATTTCCAGGAACCCCAGGTTCACCCCAAATGCTCACTGTGAGACATTACACTTCCTGTGGGAGTCCCAAGTGGAGAATCTTATATGGAGGAACTGAAGAAAAATAAGAGGGAGAAGAGAAATCTGTAATGAAACAAATTTCTTGAGTAATCAGTTTGGGAGGGAAGAGAGGAATTTCAACTCTGGTGCTACTCCCATATGGTCACGTGAGCACACAATGCCCAGCTGCATTCCCTGGCACTTGGAACTCCTTAGACAATTGAGATTAAAAGTATTTTTAAAATCTAATTTAATAAGTCCTTTTGTTTGTTTTGTATGTGTCCCTAATTTCAGACAATGAAAGGACATTATTTATGTCCTCTTCCTGTTTGCCATGCACAATAATAAACTCAAAATGGATAAAAGACTAAAATGTAAGGCATGAAACCATAAAAGTTTTAACAGAGAATATAGGCAGTAAAATCTCAGACATTTCCCGTAGCAAAATGTTTATGTATACATCTCCTAGGATAAAGGAAATTAGGGAGAAAATAAACAAATGTGACTACATAAAAGTAAAAAGCTTCTGCACAGCAAAATAAACCACCATAAAAATGAAAGGAAACCACTGTATGGGAGAACATATTTGCCAGTGATTTATCTGATAAGGGGTTAATATCTAAAATATATAAAGTACTTATACAACCCAACAAAAGAAAGACAAATTAAAAAATGGGCAGAAGACTTAAATAGACATTTCTTCAAAGAGGACATACAAAAGGCCAAGAGACATATAAAAAATGCTCAAAGTTATTAATTGTCAGAGAAATGCAAATTAAAATCACACTTGTCAGAATAGCTATCGTAAAAAAATTAACAAACAACAGTGTTGGCAAGGATGTGGAGAAATGGGAACAGTAGCTCGCTTCTTGTGGGAATGCAGATTGGTGCAGCCACTATGGATAAACAGTATGGGACTTCTTAAGAAAATTAAAAATGGAACTTCCTCTTCCTTTAGCAATACCACTTTTGGAAATATATCCTAAAAACTCCAAAACACCAATCAGAAAAAAATATATGGGTCCCTATGTTCAGAGCAATATTATTTACGATAGCTAAGACTTGGAAACAGCCTAAGTCCCCAATCAGTAGATGAATGGATAAAAAAGCTGTGGGACATTTACACTGTGGCAGTCTATACAACTATAAAAAAGAAGGTTTTTTTGCCCTTTGGGACAGCATGGATGGACCTGGAAAATATTATGTTAAGTGAAATAAGCCAAACTGAAAAAGACACATATTATATAATCTCACTTATTTGTGGAATCTAATGAACAAAATGAATTGACCAACAAAATAAGACCTGAAACATGGAGGCATGGAATAAACTGACACTTCAGTGTGGGGTTGGGGATGAAAAGCGATAAACCAAAGAATCCATATACTTATATGTATTGACACAGGCAATGGGGTAATGAAGATATGGGTGGGTAGGGGCTTGAAGGAGGGGAATGAGGTGGGGGGTGGGAGATATCTATAATAGTATCAAAAATAAAAAAAAATATGAAAGTAATAAATAAAACTGTTGAATGGAGAAGAGACCACCCAAGAGGCAGAGACCCCTACCCAGGAAACAACTCCAACTAGCCAATTGCGGAGTCAAATAACAAATTTTATTACAGATTCGAATCTGGGCTGCCACCGCCAGGATGGAGCAGGCAACAAACAGCAGCAAGCAGTTACAAATCCAGCTTTTTATGGACATTTCAAATAAGGGGGTGGAGGTCGTTTCTATATCGCTTAACCTTGTGGTTGCATGCATCGACCAGATGGCCTAATCTCCCTTCTTGGTTTGTTCTGTTCTTTTAGCTTTGACTAACCCAGACTGTTGATTTGGCCTTCAGGTCCAGGAGGGGGAGGGAGTAGTAACTTTCTACCCTCCAGGCAAGGTCAGTAATTTTCCACTCCTCAGCAAGTAATCCAAGGTCGAAGTCAGATAGCAAGGCTAAAATTCAAACAGCAGTTTTTACCAAAGTATGGTTGCCACTATATTTCAAAAACTATTCGTATAATCAAAAGGGAGACATAATAATGTAATAAGTGCAGTTTGGGCCTTTAAAAGTTGATAGTATTCAGTTTTATGTGTCTTTGAAACTCTTCTGAAGCCACAGGGTTCCTGTGGAAGGAAGTTTTAGTTGGTTCCTTTCTTGCCAGGCTACCTGCATGCTTAGACCTGCACTGTGGGTCCTGCCTGAGTTGGAGCCAAGCAAGTAGCAGCAGAACAGGACTGAATTCTCTCCAAGGAGAAGCCAAGGGAGACAAATTAAAAAAAGGGCTGAATACCTTGTCTCTGGTCAAAGGATTTAGATGATGAGCTGGCCTGGTCCTCAATCCAAAGGTGTTCATGTGTCAGCAGAAAATCCCCCATCCCATCCCAAAGCCTTCAGAATATCTCCCCTGGGTCTTATGTGATTAATTGTTTTGTGTGTAGAAATCAACATTCTTATGACTGATGCCAGATGTGTGAGTGTATCTGTGTGTAGACAGTGGGCATAATTGGTGTCATTGTTGAAAGAACAGAATTAAAGACATGGGATCTCAGGAGCTTTACAGCTTACTTATAGTAGTTATTTTATTACATTCAGTAGCAACCATAGTATTTTAAAAAAGAAAAGGAGTTTCTAGGAACATAAATCTGCTTTATTTTCAAACAGAGGAAATTTAATGTTTACAGGTTTCAAAAGGTTTTGGCATTATATGTCAAAACAAACAGTAACTAAATTATTTGGCTTATTAATAAATTGAGCGATGTTAAGATTTAACACTTTGCAGAATCTCAGATATTTACTGGTGTCAGGCACTGCAATACACAGAGGAGGCCCTGTGATTCACCACTGAATTCCAATGATGAATAATTACTGATCCATCACTGTCATCTAGGAGTCTTGCATTCCACAACAATGGTTGTTCTGGGAATTATCAATAATTTTCTGAGGATAATAGACAATAAGCTTCAGAACAAATTGCACATATAATACAATAGAATAAGCAGTAAAAAAAATTTGCATATTCTGAGCAATACACAAAATATCAGAATTAGCAATCTGACAGATAACCAAATACAAATTAGGACTATTTTTAGACAATTTTCTTTGGCAATGGTTGTGTGAGGTCTCTGAATTTCCATGTACTTTTTAAGACTCCCTTTGAAATCCTTTAATCTTTCCTCTGACAGCTCATATCCACATTCTGACTCTGTCACTAAGCTGTAAAGCTCATTGGTATAGTGGTCACCTTTCTCCATCATCAGGCCCTCTATTGAGACCATTAGCTCCTTCACTTGGTCATCCCGATTACTCCCTTTTGCTCGGTTATTAAAGCCATATGCTTTCCCCCCACACACTGCCACAAGCTTGCCAAGAGCTTTACTTTCTGAGTCGTAGATGTAATCCATCAAAGATTCTCCACCAAGGTCTTTCTTGTGGCTGAAGAGGACAATTGTGTGTCTCATGGCATCCACTCCAAAGATTTCCTTGACCCTCTGCAGCCTGCTGGTCTCGGGTGGTGAATCGGCCCAGCTGCGTCACCAGGAATAGCTCTTGGGGTCCTGGGGCTGACATCAGGTACAGTAGCACTGTGTGCTTCTGTGTAGAGGAGATCAGAGTGATCCTTCCCAGAAAACATATCTGGCGTGTTTATAATGATCATCTCTCTCTTACCCCAGCTTCCTCGACTTTCACTGCAGGTCTTGGTGAGGGTCTGGGCACACAGCTGGGACACAAAGGCTCGCTTCCCCAGGATGCTGTTCCCTGTGGCACTTTTACTGGTTCCTGTTTTGCCGACCAGGATGATTCTCAGCTCTAATTCTCTGTTGGGTTGGTTCTTCATATATGGTCCTGTTGAGGGCAAGTTTATGGTGTTATTATTGTACTGATCATGACAATGAAATATTTTTAATGATCAGTTAGTCTCACATTGTGGGAAAATATACTCTCACAATATATTGCATTTGTGAAATAGAAGCTAACTAACTCCTTATCAAATAAAATAAATTAATCATGAGAATTTTTATTTTCATTGTTATAAATTTAATTTTTTTCTATCGCCATTTATCCACTCTATAGGTTTTCTAGGACTATACCATATTGTCATGTTGGATCTTAGACAAATATACTAGACAAGGGGGGTACAAGATGGATTCAGAAACACATTTTGTCATGCAAGTCTTGCCTGAATCTCTCTGTTCTGGCCCCTTTGAAAGACTGAGGATCAGAGAAGTGGTGCCAAACTGTGGGTCCAACCTCCAGGGGGGTTAAGTACCCTGACTCTCACTCTGTTCCAAAGCCAGAGAAAGCTCCTCTGCTCTCCACTGGGCAGAGGTGTGGTCATGACCACCACTGAAATGGCTGGACCAGGGAAATAGGGGATAAGCAGTATAAAAGGATTTTCTAATGCAGGAGTGGGGAACCTTTTCTCTGCCCAGGGCCATTTGGATATTTAAGCATCATTATCAGGCCATACAAAATTACCAACTTAAAAATTAGCCTGCTATATTTGGTCAAACATTTAATTAACTCACCCCTAATGCCTTGGCAGAACCAGACCAAATAATTTTGAGAGCCTTATATGGCCCACCCCCGCTCTAATGAATAAACAGCTCATCTACATTAATAAAAGAGAAAGATGAAAATTTATCGTAACTTCACAATGCCCACCAGCCAATCAGGAGTGAGTATGCAAATTAACCCAACAAAGATGGTGGGTTAATTTGCACACACAGGTGAAGATTGTCTGGGGCAGGACACTTGCATTGTCACCATAGCAACAATGCAGGCATTCTGCACTACCCAGCCACTCAGGGCCTCTGGACAGCTCGGGGAGGTGGAAAGGCGGCCTTGGCACAAAGGCAGAAAGGTGGCTCTGGGCCAAGCAAAGGCTGTGCGGGCAGCCAGAGGAAGGAAGGCCCATTCTTGCATGAATCTTGCATCAGGCCTCAAGTAGCTTATATTCTGCTTAGAGAGGACAGCATAATTTTTACAGGAAGTAGGCACAGAATATGGAAGAACAGGCACATGTACTGGAATTCACTTTCTTACCCAAGTAGCTGCATTCATTTTGGTCCATTGCAGCTCCTGAGGGACAGAGAGACAGGAGACCAATAAAACAGCAACAACAACCTGTTAGTTTTAGTTCCGAATCATGAAAGACCCTTATATTCCTAGAGCACGTTCTACAGCCATGCTTTGTTTATACAAAGCTGACAGGGTGAATGGAAAGAGAATTACTCAGTATTTTATAGAGAAATCAGGTCATTTGCCTGAAGTCACCCAGGAAGTATCTTGTTTGAATCTGGCAGCATATCCAAAGTGACGAGGCACAGAAAACGCAGCTACACATTAATGCCCAAACTCTTCTCAGTGCGCACAATATATTGGCTTTGTGCTAAGGAATCCCTCTTTGCCAGTAATGTGTAAACTAAGTTACATGAAGCTTACAGTTCCTGTAAATTGGCTTCCCTTCAACCAAAGGTAGTCATTCTAAACCATTTTCCTTAAAATAGGATGAATTTGTTGTTAAAAAAAAAAAAAAAATTTTTTTTTCCAAACTCAGCTTAGAAACTGCAAGACGTTACCCAAATGTGGGCTTACCTGACTGACTGATAAAAGACACAGATGGCTCCCCGTTCAAACTTGTGCATTGGCAGTTCAGCTCCAAGAGTAAAGGAAAACAAAACAAAAACCTGCTTCTGCCTTCTATGTCATCTCTGCGGAGCTTCTCCACTGCAGAAGTGCCCCACCTGTCTGTCTGAAATTCTCACGCCACAGAAGCAGAATGAACAGTTCAAATGGGAAATGTAAGCAGCAGTTATTTGCTATCATGTGGCCCAACTGTCCTTTCTTGTCAATAGAGAAAACAATTTTAACTGGAAAGAAAGGCAGAGACCCCAGTGAAGTTGTTCCATTTTATTCCTTGCCCCTGGGGCTTTGTCTTCACACTCACAAGCCTCCTAAATGCCTGAGAAAGAATTCAACCTCATTCACACCTGGTAGCAGTGACTGTTGTAAAGGCAGCCACTTGGAGGAGGAGAGACAGCATGGGTCAGGGGACACCTGTTTGAGGGGATAGTACAGAGGGAGACAGGGACAGATGGGGAAGCCTGAGGAAAGCTGTTAGAGTCAGATGGAGAGTAACAGACACTAACCACCTAGCACTGTGAGCTCACTCACTGGTGGAGTCCCTGGCACCCCTGCTTTTCTTTCCCATCCAGCTCTGTCATTTCAGGAAACACACCTCTCAGGGACAATGATGTAGGTAGTATCTCCAATAATAATGTGCAGTGTCTGCATTCAGGATGATCAATTCACAGAAATAAGTTAAAATTCTTCAAATGTTCGCTTTCCTTGCTTATGTGACAATCATCAAAGCAAGGGACACTGCCTTTGAATTCCCAGACTAGTAGTGAGGCTTGTTGCTCTCTGTCCCCAGCCATCCATGAGTTATGTAAGGTTTGAGGCACAGGAAACTGACCACCAAGGAGTTTTAAAGTAAAGTTTATTCCCCAGTAATGAGTGGGACTCATTATGGATGTAGAGAAATCAGAATTGAAGGAGTTGGGAGGGGAGATGGACCCAGCCGGGCTGCCACCTGGACATGGAGGATCAGCAGCACGTGGCTGGTCTGGGGGTCTTTTTAAGGGAGGAACAGGAGAGGGTTGGACCCAGGGCAGAACAGGAAGGGGTGGGCTCCAGGACACTTTGGCAGGTGCTGATTGATGGCTCAATGTCTTGGAGGTGTCTCTGTGACAGTTGCCAGTAATGTCATAACTCTGCCCACCAGTTGGGAGGAAGGAGAACCTTATAAGGTATAATCATGGGGCTCTGACCTCACAGTCAGGGGGCCTGGGACATCAGGGGAACCGTGGACATAGGTGAACAAACTTTTGTTACACACTGTTATCACCTTGTTTTGAATTCTTCCTTGGTTCTTCACTGGGCAGCCTTTTTAAGTGTGCTTAAAGTACAAAACAATATGGCCAACTCCTGCTTAATGTCAGTACTCTATTTCTAAAAATACAACCATCTGTGTCAAAGTGCTAACAGGGAACTATTTCCTAACTTTAATATGTAAAACTAAAATAATGCAATATACATCAAACCCAAATCTCATCAATTTCTTACATTATATATAAAATTTATGAAGCACCCATTCAATTTTGCTTTAAATACAGGATATTTAAAACAATGCTTTTCTGAATACCAAAAAATACTTTTGGTTTATATAAAAAAAAGTTCTGTTCGAATGGCTATTATCAAAAATTCATGTTGCAACAGCATGGAGACTACAGTCAAATACTGTGGTGTGTACTTGAAATTTGCTAAGACAGCAGATCTAAAGGGTTCTCACACATACAAATAAGATAATTATGTGAGTTGATGGGAGTGCCAATTAACCTGATGTTAATAATCATAAAATACATGTACATCAAACTATTGCATTATGCACTCGAAATAAATAATTTTGTTGCCAATTATACCTCAATAGAGCTGGAGGGAAAATAAAAAAAACAGCAAGTGAGGTTAGGGAGCAACCAAAACATTGCTGATGACTGTAAAATATTAAACCATTTAGGGAGAATGTCTGGCAATTTCTATGTCCTTTATTAGAATTCTAGAAGCCTGATGCATGATTTGTGCAAGAGCAGGCCTTCCTTCCCTCTGCTGCCTCACCAGGCTTCCTTCTGGCACCTGGGACTCGGGCTTCACTCGCAGCCCTGGCTATGTCTGGAAGGACATCTGGTCTAATTAGCATATTATGCTTTTATTATTGTAGATTAGGTCTTTCTCCACGTAGAGTACACACTTTTCTTGCCAAGTTTATTCCTGAGAATCTAACTTTTTGTGTTGCCATTCCAAATCAGAATTTTTCCTTGAAAAAGAGTTTTCTAAAGAGTTTTTATTTTGTATGAAGGAATACATTTTTTTAATACATTAATTTTAAAACCATCCAATTTACTTATTTTAGCATTTCTATAAAATAGTGTTTTATTTCCTTTTGATTATCTTGGAAATTTTAGGTTGATCATAGACGTGGTTGCAAATAATGATACTTGATTCCTATATTTCCAAATATGTACCTCTTATTGCTTTTTTTGTTTGTTTGTTTAATAACATTGGTTGTTACCTTTTATTTATTTTATTTTTATATATGTTTTTATTGGAGAGAGAGAGAGAGAGAGAGAGAGAGAGAGAGAGAGAGAGAGAGAGAGAGGAAAGGACAGGGAAAGAGAGCAATATCAATGGAAATCCAGAGACCTGTTATTGGTACATGGTCAACCAATGGAGCCACTCCGGCTGGGCTGGTTGTTATCTTATAAAAAGTGAGATAATGTGCGTTTATTTTCCTTTTAGGGAATCTAAAAATCTTATCATTAACAGTGATGCTGATTATATGCATTTAAATTCATTTATTTTAAAATCTGTGTAGTACACTTTGTTTAGCCCTGGGCTGTGGGCTCAGGGCAAGTGATTCCTACTGTTTCCCTCACTATCCACTCGCTGTGACCCTCAGCGCCACCATCACTGTCCTGTTTCAGTGATGGGTGAGCCCAGAAGTAGAGTAGCCTGTGTAAGATCACCCAGCAGTGAGTGGCTGTGATTGGGCCAAGGCCTCTCAGACTCCTGGCGTCCCCTTACCTGGGGGGCATTGCGAGTGCGGACCCAGGAAGTTGCTCTGAGGCCTCAGGAAGATGCCTGTGGGCGCATGGGAAGCCAGGTGGAAGCTGTTACACAGGAGCCCTCTGCAGGTACAGTGTTTCAGGACATTTAGCCTTCCAGAACCAAGGAGAAGGGGGTTGCTGAGCATCCCGTGGCCCCTTTAGATGGGGACAAGCCCTCTGGAAGGGTGGGAAAACTGCTGTAAACAGTATCTGGAGACCAGGGAGCTGCCCCTTGCTGTGTGTTCCCTTCCTGTCAGAACTTGCCAGCTGCCAGGCACTTCCCATTTCGTTTGTCACTTGTTCAAATAAGCAATATGTGGAGGAAGAGGCTATAGAGGCAGTGATGGACCCCCTTCCCTCATCAGAAACAGCCCCTGTGACACAGGAAAGTTCCCGTGGGGTACCCCCTCCCCAAAACCTCCTCAGCACTCATCCCAGGAGCACCTGCCTAACCATACCCCCCACAGCCCTTCTTCAGGCTCTGCTTCTAGAATGTTCCTGCTCTAGGGACAGACAGACACTGCTGGTCCACAGAGGGCCTGGAAGACCAACTCTAAGGACATGACTTTGATGGGCTCCCCAGCTGCAGGTGCTGGCTGCCCCCTCTCTGCCATCAGACAGAGCAGCCTATGGGGCTCATAAGGACTGGAACCTTATGTGTGGGCAACCATCAGCTGACTGCACATTTAAGGCTGGAGCAGTGAGCATAGAACAATTACCTTGCAAAGCGAGATGGGAACACAATATGGGCTTAGGCTACCACATTCTGTAGGTCAATTTTAATAGTTTTATTTGGTATATTTGCAAATCAAGGAAGCTCTTCTTATAGGTGTGGTCATTAAACAAGAAATTGATTTATAGGATCAAACCACCGAATTTACGTAAGTGAGGTCAGAGGGCCTAACCTTGAACTCAGGAGGAAGAAGTCCTCTCAGCCACAGCCTGAAAGAACACTTTACTAGATAGAATGGTGGATTTGCAGCTGTTTTATAAAGAAGAATAGAAGTCTGGTGCATGAAATTCATGCATGGAGTTGGGGGGAGTCCCTCAGCCCAGACTGCACCCTCTCCAATCTGGGACATCCCTCTCACAATCCAGGACTGCTAGCTCCAAAGTGCTGTCCTGCCTGCCTGCCTGCCTGATTGCCCCTAACCTCTTCTGCCTGCCAGCCTGTTCAATGCCTAACTGCTGCCCTGTTGGCCAGATTTCCCCTTACTACCCTCCCCTGGTGGCCCAGTCAACACAAACTGCCCTCCCTTGCCAGCCTGGTCACCCCTAATTGCCCTTGCCTGGAGGCTTGGTTCCCCCTAAGTACCCCCATCCCAGCAGGCCTGATCACCCCTGTCCTCCCCTGATGGCCTGTTCACCCCCACTGCCCTTCTCTGCAGTCCTAGCTCCCCTCAACTGCCCTCCCCTGCAGGCCTGGTTTCCCCCAAGTGCCCTCCCCTGCCAGACTGGTGCTTCCCAACTGCCCTCTCCTACAGGCCTGGTTCTTCCTATATGCCCTCCCTTGCTGTCCTGGTCCTCTCCAACTTCCCTCCCCTGCATACCTGGTTGCCCACAATTGCCCTTTCTTACAGGCCTGGTCCTTCCCAACTGCCCTCCCCTGAAAGCTTGGTACTCCCGGCCCCCTCACCAACTACTCTTCCTTGCAGGCCTGGTCCTCTCCAACTGCCTTCTCCTTCATACCTGGTTGCCCACAGCTGCCCTCCCCTACAGGCCTGGTTCACCCCAATTGCCCTCTCCTGCAGGCCTGGTTACCCACAACTATGCTCCCTTGCACCTATCCTTCTCCTATCCTTCTCTATAAGCCTGGTCTCCCACAATTGTCCTCCTCTGCCAGCCTGGTCACCCAAAACTGCCCTTCTCTGCTGGCCTAGCACCCCTAACTGCTGACCTCATTGCCCACAACTGCCCTCCTCTGTAGGCCTTTTTGTTGCAACCATTTTTGACCATTTTGGGGCAGCCATCTTGTATTAGGATGGGGGCAAAGATGAAAAGGTCAGAATCAAAGGAAAACTCATTAAATCTCTCTAAAAATATATGCTTCAATTTTTTTTTCTTTTGAGAGTCAAATTATTTATTTATTTATTTATTTATTTATTAAAAAAATCTTTATTGCTCAGATTATTACAATTGTTTCTCCTCCCCCCCTCCCCCATAGCTCCCTTCCACTCGGTTCCTGCCCCACCCTCTCCCCTTACCTCCCTCCTGCCATTGTCCTCATCCATAGGTGTACGATTTTAATCCAGTCTCTTCTTGCACCCCCACATCCCTTTCCCCCTGATAATTATTAATCCACTTCCTTTCTTTGCCCCTGATTCTATTATATTCACCAATTTATTCTGTTCCTCAGATTTTTAATTCACTTGCTTTTTAGATTCACTTGTTGATATACATGAAATGCTGAAAGGTATTACTAAGAAGAGAAGAAGAAGACAAAAGAAAAAATTATGATCAACAAATATATATATATATATATATATATATATATATATATATATATATATATATATATAAACATGCTTCAAATTGTTGAGAGCACATTTTGAAAATCAGATTGGGGATGTCATAGTTTTAGTAGTGAAAATGGCACTAGGTTTAGACCCCAGTTCAGCAACTTGAGCTCTGTCTTAGAAAGAATTCAAAACCAAGACTGAAATTATAAGGAAAAAGTTTATTTAGGGAGACATATAAGTAGAAGAAATGAAGTGAGCCGTAG